TATCTCTTATACATGAGAGACAATCACGTCTTAATATTCCACATACAAATCTATCCATATGTGCATTATACATAAGCACGCTACCTACGACTAAAGAGCAGCCTGCTCTGAGGCCGAACTATGCAGTTTTTAAAGGGCACAATACAAAACTTCTTTTCTTCTATCACTTATACTGTTTTTATACTGTCAAAGCACTTCACAAATATTAATTAGCTCTAAATAAATTCTAATTATTTCTAAGAGTGGCCCTAGCAGATCTGTATCATCTGGTGCGAAATCTGACTTCAGTGAAGTCAACAGCAACAGCTCCTCAGACCTCAACAGAGTTGACATATCACTCGCCATTGCTAAAATGCTGGGAGTCATGCATATTATCTAGGAAGTATCACAAGTGGAGCTGAACAAGTAATAGCAGTAGTAACAAATGACAGGGTTATGGAATGCTGGCTGAGAATAAGAGGAAAACGGTTAAATGACCTGAGCCAATCTGCATACACTAAATGTGGGAGAAGCTTTGCCACAGTTTGTGAAATGCAGTAATAGGACTCTGTTTGGTTTCAACATCAGCTGAAACAGAAGGTGCTCACCTGCTGTTAAAACCAATTCATATACTTCAGATACTGGCGTTAACTTGTAACATCTGCTCATGCCACAGGTCATTAACATAGGTAACACCCGACTTTGAAACACCAACTCTATAAAGAGATTTGCATTATACATCCATATAAATATTATGTATTATGTATATAATAAAGTACATATAGGTTTGCATAAAAATCGACATTCTTAAATTCCAAACAGCATACAGTGAATGGATAACCAGGCATGTAGCAAATTAGGTAATCAGCACTTTTCTTGCTATTGTGGACAATATAGTCCAAATACTGCCAATTTATTTTTCTCATATGAAAAAAATGCTTTGGTTTTAAATAATAATATTAAATATTTTACACACCATGCAATTATATCTAGGTATGGATGTTAAAAAATCAACTGCAAGCATAGATTATGAATCTTATTCTCAAATAGAAATGTAATCCTAATAGAAGTTCCTCCCTTTTTCTCTGCCAACTTTACCACCACACAATATGCCATAGAGAAAAAAGGGGAAGTGTCAACTTGTGTAAATTGTCCTTTATGTAATGCAAACCATCTGTTTAAAAAAACAAAACAAAATGAAAAACCAAGCCACTCCCAAGTATGAACTGCTATGGAGAAAAAGAAAGAAAAGAAAATTTACTACATCGAATTTGAAGCCAACGACCATGACCTGCCATGTAACTATAAGAAAATATTTACCCCTCTCCTCCCTCTCTTTACTCAATTTTGCAAACTATTTGGAGAAGTATAAGTGAAAAATTTGCTCAGCATGTATTAGAAATTGATATTGTATTCTTCTGAGCACTTGAGCCATATAGAATGTTTCCAATGAAGTAGGAACCCAAGCAGAGAAATATTTTCATTTTCAGTAACAGACAGAATAGCTCTCACACAGTGATGCCACCACTGGGTCAGAAGGTCTCGCCACAACCACTGGAACCTGGCAAAGTATATGGGGATAAAGTATCGGTATAATCTTGCTTTGTTCTTCTCTGTTCTTTAGGTATCTCCCATAAGAGGAATCTAAATGGACCCCTGCTATGAACTGATACGATTATTTCTGTGTTTTCTTCAGTCAAATCCTCAGTAAAGCAAGTATGTGTAGAGAAAACAGTACTCTTCCTTTTCACAGTCTCTGGATAAGTCCTTAGTCCATTGCAAAGCATGGCCTGAGGGAATCCTACCACATACACTCTCTGAAATCACTGGGAGATGTACATTTGACCCTGTGTTGCTCCAAGATGGACAGAATCAGAAAGCATTGAGTAAGTTACTTTGGTTTCATTCATAAGCTGAATGAAAGAAAAACAGCAGTCTAACTAGGTATTCATCATTTTTTCTCTTTCACTGACCTCGAGGCTTGATCACACATTCTCTTCCACCTGTGTGCTGGCTGAAGAGGCCGCCATCTCCAATCACAGTCCCCTGTCAAAGGTTACCACTGTGACCAAGCTGCTTGTTTAATCACTTCCCAACATGTTTCCATTAAAATGAGACAGCTCAGTTTAAGCAATTTTAACAGAAAGTTCTTGCTATCCCAGCCTGGACAGAAGAAAGTTAGGAAGTGCTTAATCAAGAAGCTTGGACAGTGTGTCAAAAGTAAGAGGCACAGTGATGAACAACTGGAGACAGTTATCTTTTCAGCTACTTGGCCTGCAGACAGAAGGCAGCAAGTAACCCATGCATCAGGTGTGACCAATAGCACAACTGACTAGAGATGTGAAGTGCCTTAGGTGGCATGCTGCTGATTCTGAGACACCCTCTTGGAGATCTGACTTTTTAAAGAGGCAGGGCACACAGCACTATAAATGCGCCTTTGAAGGTGTCCCCAACAGGATATCCATAATAAAGGTACTCAGCATCATTAGTTAGTTATGAAAATACTGGTTGTCAAAACAATTCCCTCTTCCTTTTCCCCTCAATTTCCAAATTTCCCTTTACTGAGAAAGAGTATATGAAAATTTTCATAGTTCTTTGTTATCTGTGACTGGAAGTGAATGGTTTCATGGAGATTTTTATCATTCCAATGTACAGATTGTTAGTGATACTAAATAAACAGAATCATCACTAGAGAATTCAGTCAGCCATACAAAATAATTCTGAAAATCTATCAGTTCAGAAAAAAGGGCAGGTTTTCCAAAAGACATGGCAAGATGTAGAAGTGAGGTTCCATTTTCATATGGTACATAATGATGGCAGTTGGGTAAAGATGCTGGTAGTGGGGTCTTCAGAAGTTAACAGAAAGACCTTGCATCCAAAAGCAAACTCAGTGAAAGTTAGACATTTAATGTACTGAGAAGCCGAGCAAATGAATCAGCTGTATGTTGTCTGTTGCTATATTGTATTGCTATCCACTTTAGCTGAGATCAAGCAGGTGACCACTAAAGTTTACAGTAGAAACATTTGTTAAATATTCCTGAGACTTAAATCCTAGTGGCTTTGTCACTCTTCAAATGAAGATTTAGTCTCCTAAATCACTCAGGTGCTTTAGAAAATTTTATCCAAAGCTCTAGGGTTTACAGTCTACCGTATCTTTGCCAGGAGGACTAATACACAGAAGGTCAAGAAGAAAAGTGGGAGAAATATGTTTTAATGGTCTGTCAAAAACATAACTTGATGTGAACATGTTATAGTTTTAAGGCAGCTACATTTTTCATTGCTATAAGCTTTCTAGGTGTAGCTAAATCCATATATGCTATTTTGTTTACACTAAACTGTGAGTGAAAAGAAAAAATCCTTTGGACTACTTATCACTTTTCCTCAGCTTCTCAGTCAAATTCAGTCAAACATGCCAGGGAATCACCAAACACAAAGCTGTCTTTTTCCACTGGCTTCTGCTCAGCCCTAGACCTTGGCATGCTGCTAATTCCAAGCCTTACTGCCAGAATCAGCAGCAACTTTGCTCTTTTTCATTTTCAAGGTTACACAAACATGCAATGTCATACATCATGGATGCAAGGAACTACAGGGCTGTCTTACAGTTAATGCACATGCAGTAAAAAGAAGGGAAAAACAACACCTCAACTCTTTCTATCCAAACCAGACTTCATTAACATGGAACTAATTTAATCTGCCAGATATATCTAACAGGGTGCTTTCCTGACTTTTTCCAGGCCTACAGTTATGATAGCATTCATATTCAGTGTGGCTTTCAGTTAAACATTCTATAATGTGAATCACTACTTCTCCCATTTGAGAAAGACTGAGTGTGAAATCACTGCAAGAACTGAATGAGCCTATGCTTTGGCACTGCAGTTGCTGAGGGACATGTAGTGTTTTGAACAGTAATTTTCAGTAGCAGTCCCAGTCTGCAAAATACTAGGAGAAGGGATTAGCGGCCAAAGAAACTCAAGTTCATATTCAAGCACTGTATGTATAATGCTACAGAAACTGAAAGAAATCTGAAATTGTGGGCTAAGCCAGTTTAACTAAAGGAATCTTTTTATGTTCTGATTTTATGAAACTGCTGCAGTGGCAAGTGCTGAGTAATTCAGAACAATTGATGAACTCATGAGTTAGTCAATGATACAGATGGATGCACTGACATGAACATAATAAAGCTAAACACCCATGTTAGAGACAGAGAATGGCAGAACAAGCAAGTCCTAGATAACTCAGTAGGAAACTGATGTCAGAAGAGTTATACAAACACAAACACATGAAAACAAGTCTATAAAATTCATGCTCTAGCTAAGCCTATTCATGGAAATAGAGCTCCTCAATTATTCCTTAACTTATGTTTATTATCATCCTGTTGACAGGAACACACAATCCTATAGAAGGCTTAAGCAAAATTAAAAAAAAAAACCCTGGGGATTGTAGAGAACAATATAAATCTTTCAAAGATTAAAAATGTAGATACTATATTTTTTAGTGTTAGGCTCTCATAAATATACTCATAGTTTGTGTTAGTCTATCAAACTGAAAGGCATATGCTATTCTTTGATCTCTGTGCAGAACCCCCGTTGAGATTAATGTGAGTTCTCTGTGAAGAAAGAGACTAGAATAGGCCCCTCAGTTCACAAACAGTAAGCAGGCTGCTTCAGGAAGAAAACATATTTTCTTACAATAGTGTTGAAATTTATTGGGAAGTTTCAAATAGCTTCTCTTCAGATGTATGTATGTATGTGTGGTCATGAGCATATTCACTTGTTAAAAAGATCTGTCAGAAAGAAGGTGCACAAGTCTACTTGTGTGAAATGTTTTGCTGTTATGTTGAAACAAATACTTCATCTTTGACAATCTTTTCTCATACAGTAATGACTAATCATCTATTTTACACTCATCTGTGAAAGTTCATGGCTTTGTCCATCAGGCTAGAGAGGTGATACTTTCATACAGATTGACATGGAATTGTGCCTTATTATCCACTTCCAGCTAAAAAGATCTACAGGACTTACTGCATCCCGCTTTGTAGCTGAAACCAGGAGGAAGAAGGAATCCTTGCTGTGCGGCTGCTGCTAGGGTTCGTTGGTCTGGAGGGAATACGGGAATCATTAATGGAGGCAGCTGACCCTGGACCTGCTGAACAGGAGAGGGAAAATCAAACGTGGAATTTTTTCTGGGGAAAAATGTCTGCTTACGTGCTTTCTCTTACTTCTGATCTGAGAGGTCAGGTTTGAATATGCTCCTCCATAATGGGGTGTTCCAGTAACATCAACTATTCAGCCTCATCTTAATTACCAAAGCACTTCATATGAATTACATTAATCCAAAGCAAAGCAAAAGATTCGACTAACAAATACCTATATCCCAATAATTATTCCCCCCCTCACTTCTCTTTGACTGCAGGGTGAGTTTTTCTTCTCTTTTATTGCACTGTGTAACAATATTGCTGTGTCAAGACAGTAGCTTTCACCCTGACTAAGCCCAAACACAAAGATCCACAAACACAGAAGTAAAAATACGTGCATAAGTAGTGTACAGCACAGTCAATACTATTTTTCTGCCCATATACATGCACTTATTTGTACATGTGAAAAGATAAAGTCTCTGAGATTGTAAGAAAAAAAGCTGACACTTTATTCACAAATAAAACACAGCTATGTCTGAAGTGTTTGTTCAACTTAGTAGAGCAACTGTACACAACCATGCAAGTCAGGAAATGGAAAATATTATATTGTAAGTGGATACTGCAGGGGACTTAAGACATGCAGAAATTAGTCATCAGAACTGGAAGTTGGCTATGGCATAACGTTTAATACTCTCGCTTTTACCCAGTTCTGTCAGAGTTTTTAATTGCTAGAAATGGACATCATCTTTGTATTTCACACAGATGAGAAACAAAAACTTTGCTAGATTAAATGGCTGTGTTTAATTAAAAAACCTCACTGTACTAATCAGATCAGTCAGTAAAGGGAAACTGACTCTTTTTTAAGAGAGGTCATCCAGATTTTTAATGGCACTGTAATGCTAAGGCTTCAGAGGTACAGATACATTATCAAAGACTGAAGTTTAGTTTGTAGTCTGTATTAAGAAATGAGTTAGGGTGTTGATAGACAACCTTTTTTTGGCCAGAGGCCTAAGAAGGTGTTACTCCATTATTGCCTGCATAGCAGAACTGGCAAAAGAGAACCTGTGCCAGCTGCCTGGTTGCCACAGTTCAGACTAGAGCATCCTGACTTAATTTTATTTTATTTTAATCTCCTGAAGATTCAGGAGATGTCTCAGTTCCCCCAACACTATTACAAGGCAGAAGAGTGATAGGAAATTTGGGAAGGTAACCTCCATTTATGCCGGGACCTGCCAAACACATGTGTGTGTGTGCTGACTGCATCTTTACAGTCTGAAACAATTTGCAAGAATGGAGTCCAGGAGCACTGTTGACAGAAATTCTTGCACTGGGAGATTAAGGTTGGGACTGAAGCTAGAGTATTTGTAGCTCCACTCACTAAACGAACACAATCCGGTTTTTGTTAACTTTACTGTTCTCCTTTCTGTTCTGATCCTGGTAACTAGAAGACATACGTACTTTTAACTGGATTGCTGGAGGAAAAAAACATATAGAATGTGATTTCTTCTCTATCCCCACTCAGTCACCCTAGAACTGCCCAATGTCTACCTTTTCTTCATGTGTTTAGTTTTTGTTTGTTTTGTTTGGGGTTTTGTTTTGGTTTGGTTTTTTGTTGGGTTTTTTTGTGTTTTTTTTTTTTAAAGACAAAGACAAAGTAACTGCATTCTTTTAGAACAAAAATGAACAGCCGTGTGGAATTTTTGCATAGTACTCTTCTTCGGCAAAAAGCCACAGAACTTTTTTTTAAATGGTTTCCAAGGATGAAAGTGACTTTGCCAAGTAAAGAAGCTTCAAAACAGGACTCAAAAACACTAATAGAAAGACAGATGGTTCTACTAAGAGCTTTGCTGCCAAAAAAAATGTTAAAAAAAAAGTGAAAAAAATGGAGTGATGTTATTGAAGCTGACTGCAAAGTTCTCTGATGACTGCAAATACTCTTGTCCCACTGCAAGTGTTAACTCTGCCTCCAGGGCTAATATAACTAAAGCACCACACACACACAAATTGTCATTGCCAAGCCCACAATGTAGCACAAGTCTGCACTTGATTCCAAGTGACTGCCAAATACACGAGCAAAACACCACACTGAAAATTTCCCATTTAGGAAAACATTTACCAGGAAAATGCCCTTTCTTCTTAACTTTGACTGCTGCATTTCATTTTTTCAAATTGCTGCTCCTCTTTATCTCTCCAAGGGGCCTTTATACCCACTAATTTCAAATGACACAACCCCAGTTGCGTTAAGGAGGTAAGAAATATAGAGTGATGAGGATGGTTTGCATGGATACAGAAATAACGCAGTCAAAACAATGTGATTTTTATTCCAGGGTGGAATATATGTAGCACCACTCAAACAGCTACACTTAATTTTCTCCCAAATACAAATAAGCATAAACATTAGTTTATTTTAATCCAATTACCTGACACAATACAATACAAATTATGGACTCTTCATTTTTATGGCTCATTTAACTACTACATTTTAACTTTTGTTATGTTTATTATTATTACCTAGAATTACTAGGATACAACTGTTTCAAGTGGCACAAAACACAGGTCCTCCTCCTTATGAGTTTTACATAGAAGATATTTTTCTCTTTTTTTTTTTAAGCTATTACTATGTTAGTTACATCCCTCATAAATGTTTTTTGTTATATAGTTTACATACCTTTCAACGTTTTCTTGACAGTAACTTACTCATACTGCATTTCTAATTTGAACAGAATGGACAGCAAATCAGAGCTATTCTTCAGGTCCATCAATTTGTTCTGCTAATGGACATATAAATGTCCATAAAAAGAAATACATCTTTAACAATGTAAAAATGCATATAGCTGTCAAGATTCTCCACTTACCAGTCTCTCTACGTGATTATGTCTTCTTAGTTGTAATTTCCTAAAGGTGAAGACTGTAGTTTAAATCCTTACAAAATTCCCAGTGGATTTAATGGGCTACAATTTCACCTTGTAACTTCTTATCTACTTTATGATGTTAGTCTGGATGATACAGATACAATCTTTCAAGGTCTTTTTTCACTCCTCATACTATTGCCACGATGTCAACTGATCACAGAACCCCCTGATCTTTCTTTTAATTTGAATGCCATCACCACATATCAGATGAGCCAGAAGTACTCTTGTACTTCATGAAAAACTGTAGAGGCATGGTATGCACAGAAAAGGCATACGGCATACATAAAATAACACAGAAATTAACTGAATGTCACAAGAGCCATAAATAATATGCTATACAATCAACTCACTAGTCAAGGAATTCATACTTTCATTCACCTATTTCTGACAAGTAATTTGGGGCAAGAGGGAAGCCCATGTTGCAATGAAAGACATAAACCTTAACACTTAACATTCAGTTCATGAGAAATAACTCTCCTTTAGGAAGCAGATACGCAAGAGTTTAAAAAGTCCAAGAAAGTAAAGGTTCTCTAATTCATAATGGGGACATTAAGTCATCTTCAGTAACAGCAATGTATTTTAAGAGCAGACGAAACTGCAACCAAGCTTAACCTAGAGCGCAAACCAAAATCAGGGACCCTTTGTACCTGTCACTGAAAATCAAAAAAGGGAGACTACCCCTAAAGAACTGATCAATGAAAAAAAACAAATATGAGCATGTGACAGGCAACTAATAGTATATCTACTGTTCAAGTGGGAAATTGAGGCACCTGGAGCTGCCTGTAGAGATTTTCGATTTTGGGAAGTGCCTCAATGTATTTTTATTTGTTCCAGTGCATTTGAAAAATCTGCTCTTAAATGACGTATCCTTATCAAAAGAAATGTGTTAGTAAATTTGGAACCGACTCAAGCTGTAGAAGCCTTGGGACAGCATCTTCACAGATCTGTGCATGACCATATCAAATCCAACCACACAAAATCTTACATTAAGTGTAGCCAGAGGTAGATTCCCAGCATTCCCAGCTTCGTTATAGCTGTAGTATTTCCGCCTCAATTCCGGTCTCCTACCTACTTTTAGGAACATACTGTGGTTACCACAGCTACCTAAGCAGTATGTTTTTAAATTACCCTACTGTTTGTTACTAGCTCCTGCTGTGATTTATATAAATTTAGATTGCGAACACTTGACAACTACAATTCTGTTCTATTTTCTGTAAAATGTCACATGCACTTTGGGTCACTATATAAATAGCTACAAGGACAAAATAGTTTAAGGAAACATTAATGTTGAAAAGTTAAGCATTCAGGACTTAGGAAATGCCAGAATCAGGACAGTGTGCATGACCTTATTTTGGTCCTTTATGCCCATGCATCCTGACAGAGACTTTAATTAAAAGTTCACAGATTCCCCCCTCATATGACTCTTGTTTAATCTACCAGACGTATAATATTCCTCAAGTAATATAAACTCATATTTTCAGTAACTCTAAGCCCCTAACAGAGCAGCTGCTATTAGTTTTATTTATTCAGTCTTTATACACTTCCACCATTTAATCTTTATATTATCATTTCTGCAGTTGCTCATTATATGTTTATTAACATAAACTTTTATATAAAGTTTTCACCTTTCCAAGGTAAATATCTCAATACATTTCCTGGCATCCATATATAACATTTTCCACCGAGGGGTGAATACTGCTCTTCCACCCACCTCTAGTTCCTCAGAAGCGATTCTCTCCATTTTGGTGAGACTGGTGACGGAGTAACAAATTACTCAGTGTGAATAAGAACGGCTGCTGAAAGCAACACTCTCTTCTCTACAAACTGACAAAACTCTGAGCAGTACCTTACTCTTAAGCTGTTCAGAAGATGCCCTTCAAGAGCTGTATGAGCATCTTTGCTGAAATTATCTCTTCTTACATGGCTTCTTCATGAAGAAGTGTGGCTAATTTTTATTCTCATTTGAGTTATTCTCAGCTGCCTCAAAGAAGTTCAGATTTTACATTCCTAGAACAGTGAATGTGTATGAATGATTCTATTAACTTCAAACTGTTGTAATGAATATCTTCTTGCCTGCGACTTGTTTATAAGTTAAG